ACATCTATTACCACATTTACACACACACACACACACACACACACTAGCTAACAAGTGGTAAGTGAGTGGATTCAAGTGCATATTTCGGTTAATTTGAATTGCAGTCGCACAGTTCAATTATGCGGCCGAGAAAAAGGTTTAGTTTTAGTTTTGTATACCCCAAACCTATGGCAAATGAGCAAAGGGTAGATTGATATTGTGCGGAGTTATTTTTACAGAGTCTTAAAGGATAGCTTTAAAGGCTGCAAAGGATACAGATATATGCTTGATCACATGTTGACGTCAAAGTGCAATTTTGAAGTAGTTTTTTTTTTACTGAGGCTTAAAGAACTCCCTATATTAAAGGCTTCATAAGTCATATAGATGTGCTTGAGCACAAGTTGACTCAATCTAGAAAATATAATTCCAAATTTGAAGTTTCTCTTGAAGTAACCTCGTTTGACGAGCTAACACGAATGGACACAGTGTGAAGTCGTCGATCTGGGTAGCCTTTAGAGGAACTTAAAATTTGGTATACATATTCTCATATACCATGTGCAGAACAAGTTTATTAGCTTCTCTTTCTTTCGATATCTCTTCCCATTTTCATAGCATAGATAAACTTTTTTTTTAAGATATGGTTTTTAAGCATTAGTCGATGATTATTCTGAGAAACTACATACATGAGATTAAGTATATTAAAATAATTATTAAAAGTCATTTTACTTTTTGAATACCTCCCATTAAAATTTGAAAATATTTCCATTTCTTAAGATATAAAATTCAAATATTTGCATATCCTTAGATATAACCTTGAGCTTTAGTAAAAACAACGCTTTACATGCTGCATACTGAAATTTTCATACAAATCGGACAATGAAAACCGATCTTTACCAAGACAAAGCAAAGGGAGGAAGAAGCAACAAGCGAGGAAGAAGTGTAGAACAAAGTTAAAATACTTTTAACAACAGCCCGTCGCTGTGCACAGAGTATCTCCAAGTCGGGCACAGCCTACTTAAGCACTCTTATTTGCAGTGTATAATGTTTTTTTATATTTTTTATTTTTAATTTAAGCCCACAAGAAGTGGCTTCGCTTTGGCTGCGTTGCGGATTGGCTGCAATTTAGTTGCAGGAATTAAATTAAATTCAATTACAATGTGCACAACAATGTCGTGTGTGTCTGTGGATGTGTGTGTGTGTGTGTGCTGAGTGCAACTTCATTATGTGCATTTAACATAAATATTTTCAATTATTATGCGATTTAAAGTGCACTTGAGTACATGCACTTTTGTGGCGCACTGTTCTGCTGCCAGCTGAATGCATTTTATTTGAAGTTGAATTTGTTGTGTCTTTTATTTTTTCGCTTTTGCCAGTTTCTTTTTCTGTTTTATTTGTTTTTTTTTTTTTTGGAAATCTCGTGCATCTGTTGTCGCAATTTTGCCAGAAAATTGGTTGACCCAGTTTTTTTGGTAGTTGGGAAAGAGAGAGGCAGCCAGAGAGAGAAAGAGCGAGAGAGAGGGAGAGAGCAAAGTGGAAGAATGTATCTGATGCTCGTTTAGCAGCTGGCTCCAAAAAGTAAAATAACTTCAGATTGGCACCAAAAACTGCAACAAGCTGTTGCCAGCTATCTGGAGCAGTTACACTGTGCTGCATAAGTGCTGGCTTTTGGGGCATGCGGCAAAGGGAGGCAGCCACGAATCCAAGAATCAAGAAATTCTTGAAATGTTTAACCAGGGCTTCGACTAACGAATTGCAAGATTCACGAGCGAGTTATGGAATTGAGTTGTTGCATGAAGCAAATTCAAAGAAAGCAACTTTGCTTAAGTTAAGCCGATAAAATTAAAGAAAGCAAAGATTTAATTAAAATAAAAGCTGTCTTACATATAATTTTAACTCATACTTTAAGTATGTAATTAAAAAACCAAAAAGAGATCTCAAACAGCCAGTAAAACGTTTACGAATATAGCACAGAATTGAGATATCCGAATCTTCTTCAAAGCAGATGCAGCCAGTAAGAGAGAGAGAGAGAGAGAGAGAGAGAGAGCGAAGGAAATAGAATGAGAGTGTGACAGAGAGAGATAGTAATGGTGAGAATGCATAAACCATGATGTCTAAATCGTTTACGAATAGAACACAAAGAAGGATTAAAAATGTATTTGTGTACTCATTTATTTTTTATTTAACCCTAGTTGAAGCACTTTACAAAATTCCCTTTCCTAGAAGAACTTGTAATGAAATATTGAATTGGTTGTTGGCAGCCACTTCTCAGCTTGCAGCTTGTGGCCTGTTTTTTTTTTTTTTTTTTTTGTGGCCTTTATGATGCAGCTGGCAGCAATGGTATAAAACACAAGACACACTCACTGCCATAAGTATATACCTTAATATATATATACATATATATGTACAGATATAATCCCCCCAGCGGCGACAAAATGCAGCCGCAGCAGTTTAATTCAGAAACCTGCTCCTTACGCAGAGTTCTTAGCTTCACTTTTTATACTCAGTAAACCAAAAGGGAAGAGAGAGCATATTGTTGAGATAGATGCTAGTTTCTGTAAACTTGGTCTAGATGCTTATTGGATTATTTTGTATTTTTCTTAGTTTTATTTATTTAGCCTTTTACACTGTCCAAGAATTAAATTTTAATCGGAGCATTGCAAATGGAAATAATTTACTATTTTTTTTCAATAAAAAGAAAATGTTGTTCATATAAAGAAGTTTTCCATTCCTCAGATTAGGTAAAACTTAAATCATACCAATTTTTAAAATTATATATAAATTTTAATCTTAAAGGGAAATCTACTCTCTTCATATTGCAAAAAGACAAAATGCCTTTAAAAATATATTTAATATATGAAATAATAGATTTTGTGAGCAAAAACCTAAAAACACCAGGAAATTTATTTTCCAACACTTGCTGAAGCACAAGACAGGCTTGTTTTTAGTGTAAACAGTGTACATAAACGTAAACTTTGAAAACTCAACAGCCACAGCATCTAGTGTTGTAAAGGGATAGTCATACAAGCCGCAAATAGGTATTTTGCGATAAAGCAAAGTTGGGCACACCAAAAAAAGGAAGAGCAGAGCGCGAAGTGAAGACGACTTATGAAATGAAGAACTAGGAATAAATTTAAATTGCAAAACTAGCTGACCGGACGGGCAAATTAAATACCTCCATCGTGTCGATGATGAAATTAGAAAATTGTTTACTCCAATTAGGCTTTTACATATATTTGCATATTCTTATGTATTACATAATTAGGCTGACACTCGTTTTGTCGATCATTAATAAATACAAAAATAAACAAAATATAAAGAAGATTACATTTGAATCAAAGTATTTAAGTGCAGATCAACCTTTTTAAGGTTTATATTTTTTGCAGGGTATCGCGCAGTTGATCATCTTTACCATTCCAACTTGTTTCTCTTTTTATATTTTTATACAGTTTTTTTATTTTGATTTCTTGCATGCAGCTTTGCTGTTATTCTTAAGCTGTGGCTGAGGTGTGTGCAAGTGTGTGTGTATTGTGCATTGTGTGTGTGTTTGTTGTGTGTGTGTTTGCTGTGTGTATGTTTGTTGTGTGTGTTTGTGTGTCCCAAATTTTGTAGGTGAAATTATACGCACACTTCAGTTTTTGGCCTGTTTATTTTTTGGTGTATTTTTTTCTTCTTTTAGAGAGCTGCCCGAAACTGGACTTTGGGTTCTAACTGGAGGAAGCAAAAGCGCGCTCTCTCTCTCTCCCCCCACCCCCCCCCCCCTCTCCACACACCCTCTCTCCCCCTGTAACTATCTCTATAGGTGTATTTGTTGGTTGCACGCAAGTTAAAGCGAAAAATTGGGTCAAAAAGCAGATGTGCTCACCTTTTGGCATCAGCTAAAATGCAAGTTTTGGCCAGTTTCGATGCAGACAGATTTTCCGCGCTTGGCAATATCGTTTGTGAGGTGTGCGTAAAATCCGTGGATATGGTGGTGGAGTTTGAGCTGGACGAGCTGCCGGATGATGAGACGCTGCAAATAGTGCTGGCTGCGGCTTCTGCTGCTGCTGCTGCTGCCGGTGCAGCTGCAACAGTTGCTGCTGTTGTTGTTGTTGTTGCTGCTGCTGCTGCTGCTGTTGCAATTGGCTGCACATCGATTTGCAGGCGACAATCGGCCACAATTTTGGCCAGATTACGTCGACTGGCAACCAACGGTACCTGTTCCTCCATATGACAGCAGCCACCGCCGCCCGTTGCCGTTTCGCTGTCCGAGTCCGCGTTGGCGACAGCGACAGCGTTTTGGGCCAACAAATTCATTGGCATTTTTTCGTAATGCGTCTGGGCCAACACTTCACACTTGGCCAGCGCCTGCGTCGGTATCTGAGTCTGCGTCTGCGTCTGCGTCTGGGTCGGAGCCTGAGCCTGAGCCTTTGGCTTCTGCTTGGCTTTCAATTCTTCAGCTGCTTGTGGAATTTTTTGAATTTTTGTTTTGTTGCCGCCAATGCTGCGCAGCAGGCTGTTGTTGTTGCTGATGTTGTTGTTGTTGTTGTTGTTGTTGAGGCTGGCGGCAACAACTGCAACTGTTTCCGGTTTAGTCGACAGCAAAAGCGGCGTTGTTGCTGCTGCTGCTGCTGCTGATGACGTTTTAGTATTAACTGCTGCTGGCAGTAGTTGTTGTTGCTGTTGTGCTGTTGTTGCTGTCGCAGCTATGGGCAATGTTGCTGCTGCTGCCGATTTTAATGACTCCTCAACAACTTGTTCAGCTGCTGTTGTTGCTGCTGCTGCTGCTGCTGCTGCTGCTGATGTTGCTGTTGTTGTATTTATAATTGCCGGCTGCTGTTGCTGCTGCTGCTGTTGCTGCGTGGCGAGAGCGACTCCACCTTCTGGTATAATTGTTGCAAAAATTTGTTCGCCAAATATGAAAAGATCCTTGGAAATAATCATTATCACCTTTTTGTGATATTGTTGTTGTTATTTAGTTTTTTTTTTTATGGTTTATATTTCTGCTTCTTTCTTGCGTTTTGTGTATTTAGTTAATGTAAAACGTTGCTTTATCTGAAGAAAAACCAAAAAAAAAAACACGTTTTACACATACAACATATTTTTTGCCGGGATTATATATTTTTTATCGAATTATTTTTGGCGAATTTTGCGCACATTTCATAATTTGCGTGCTGTAAGAAACGAGTTAAGAGATCATAAAAATTGATTAACAAAAATTTCACAATTAAGAGTCAGTTGTATTGAATAAATACATATCAATAAATATGGAAATAAATATAAATATAAATGTAAAAATAATATAAAAAATATAAAATAATAATATTATATGTACATATAAATATCTGGTAAAGGTAAAGATAAGCTCTCAATACGATAAAATCATCGAAGGATATTGTTTTTAACATATATGCATTTTATCTTTAATATATAAATATTATTATAATAATTCTCTTTTTACGCGATTTTCTTTTCCACGAATTTCATTTATATTTCTTTTACACATTCTATTCCCTGAATTATACATAAAGTTAAGACGTAACCTGTTTTTATAATATATTTAATGCATTAAAATGTGTAAGAACGAAAAAGTAGTATATATTTATATTTTAATAAAAAATTAAAAAAATTATATTTTGTAATTTAAAAACTTTTTTTTATTGTTTATTGTTAGTTGTTTAAAGTCTAAAGTGAACTTTAACAAGAAACTTATATACACAGAACCCGTTGAAAATTTTTTAAATATTCTTTATTGTACTTTCAAGTTCCTCTTTTGGATCTCTTTAGGTCAATTCACAATTTTTCCATTTAGCCATTATATTTTTTTATTATCAAAGAAAACTATAATTCAATTATTTTAACGTATATATCAATCTATCTCTAAAAACGCTAAAATGATTTATGTTTCTATTTTTTTATATAATAAAAGTGCATTTTAAATAAGAAAATTTGTATTTTTAATTATGATTAATTTCTTTTTAATTTCTAATTTTAAAACAGAATCAAAATTGAAAAGCGACATGGATTTAAAAAATTATATTTGCAAAAACACAAACACACACAAACACTTTTCAAATTGCCGTAGCCCAATTTCATACATTTAAGAAATTGTTTATATTATTATTGCGTTTGTTTTGAAACTATTTTTTTCCCCATATAAATCATACAATATTCTGTATTTCAGGCAAAATACTTTGCGAATGCACAGACATTTTTTTCAAATAGTTATTTTCATATTATAAGTAATTTATATTAAAAAAACCAATATTAGTTTAAAGCAGCAAAAATTATGTTGATAAAGCAATTTTCAAACAAAATAATTCACTTTACATTTTATTTATTTTTGATTTATTGATTTTTGATTTTAATACGTAATATTATATATTTTTATATGTTAATTATTATTATTTAATACATATAGTATTTAATTAAATTTATTTATTTTAAATGTAACTTGCTAACATTTTATTAATTTGTTTTCTGATTTAAAAATTTATTTCAAATTTATGAAGAACTGTTTTTACTGTATTTACTTTTGCTGTGGGATTTGTTTGTTAATTTCCGCAAACAATTTTTGGCTTTAAACGCGCTGCACTTGAGACTCGCCTAACAAAATAAAATGAAAAAAATGACTCTTTTTATTGTAGTGTAAAAAATAAACAAAACAAATTTCTATAAAATTGTGTGTTCTTTGTTCACAATTGTTGCTATATTTATTTTTAGCACTCGCAATAATCAGAAAAAAACTTCTGTCGAAATTCACAGCACAAAGTCAAATAAAATAAATGAAATGAAATGCAATTTTTGTTTTTGTTATTTTGCTGTCTAAGCCGCGTCTAGCAAAGAGTGCGAAAGAGAGCGCCGAAAGAGAGGGCGAACTGCAGGCGGCGTCTCGGGCTTTACTTCAGTTACAATTTGTCAATAAGCCCGCGCGAAACAAAGCGCCAGAGCAAAATGTCAGTTTACATTTCTTGAAGCTGTGTGCGTGCGTGAGTGTGTGTGCGTGTGTATAGAATAAAATGTAAACATAGCAAAAACAACAAGCGAGCAGAGCAAAGACAAAAAAAACACGCACCCAAAAGCAGCGAAACGGCAAATTGACGCTAAATCTTTTTCGTTGTAGAATTGCAGCAGGTCGAGTTGTGGGGTTGCGGGGGGGCAGGCAGCAGGTAGAGCGTTATTAAAAATTTCGTATTTAAAAATCAGCTTCAAGCACACAGCACACGCACACACACACACGCGCGCGCAGACAACAAGCACGTTGCGAGACGACTTTTTTTCTTAATATTTTTCTCTTTATTTACTTGATGCATTTGTTTGATTTTGAAACATCTTGAGCAGAAAACACTCACTTAGCCACACGGCACTGGAACACAGAACATGAGAAACCGAAAACGAAACGAAACGTAACGAAAAGATGTAAAAAGACTTATTTTTCTTTTTGTTTAGTGCATGTTGTTGTTGCTACTGCGACGGCGATCGACTAACTGAATTGAAAGCTGAACGGCAACGACGACGACGACAACGAGCAACGCGACGCGCATTACGTACAACCAACGGCGGCCGATTTCGATCTCGTACTGATCACCGTTAAACGCTGTTTCGACTGCGGTGGCTGCTGCTGCTTGTGCTGCTGCTGCTAAGCGACGCAGTCGGCGTCTGGGAGAGCGCGCGCCCGTGCATGAATGACAATTTTAACAGCGCATTGTAGCGCTCATTCTCTCTGTCTCCCCACAGAAAGCGCTGCGGCGTCTTTAGCCACTGCACGTGCGTGTGGAGTTTATCCTCTCTCTTTGCTGTAAGCTTACAAGCGGCTTAAGAGCAACGCTCGTCGCTTAACCACATACAATGTAATGTGACGTCTGTTAGGCGCGCTCTGTAATCAGTCATTGATAGTGAACCGTGGAGCTCGTAAACTCTTAACCGATAAAAGCAACAAAAGCTTTTATGAGGCTTAACGAAGAAAAATAAAAAACAACAAAATTAACTGTCTAGCTGCTGGGACAAAAAGTTGACTTGGTGATAGAAATTTGCTTAAGATTACACTGAGCGTCAAAATGTTGATCAAACTAAGGCGAGAGTTTGTCTATGTTAGCAAAATGTTATGTACGTGGGGCTGCGAAGACAAAGCTTTTAGTTTATTATTTTAGTGTTTAATATTTAAATTAGTTATTATGTATGCAAATTTATTTTTTACAGTGTTCCATGGAATATATAAATATGTATGTTTGACGGGTTTGTTGTTTGACATGTTTCAAGTTTGGTTACGTTTTGATTTTAACTATAACATTTCCGGCAGGCGCTGCCAAATTCCAGTAGTTGTTAGAGAATTATAATAAAATATACACGTATTGAAACAAATACGTTTTCCTATATAAAAAAAAAAATGAAATAAAGACAAAACATGTTGCCCATTAGGCCAGAAATATTTGTGCGTGTGTTAAGCTTTGTTCGCACTGCGGCTGTTAAAGCTTATCAGTCATTAAACTTGACAATAGAGAACCTTAACAGCAACAAAAACAGCACCAGCAGCAGCAAAGAGAGCGCAACGTATACGCAATGTGTGTGCGTGCACCGTTATACCAGGAAGAGGCATAGGCTGAAAACAACAAAATACACTAGACGCCTATAAAATGTGTCAGCTGTTTTGAAGGTTTCAGTGCGTGAAAGCCCATAAAAAAATGTTAAAAAAAAATGGCGAACATGTGGCAACTAGATAAAGCCATAGGCCTTTAACAGATCTGCGATAATCATGATGATTTTTGGTTTGATAAATTAGGCAAAAGAAGTGCGCTATTAATTTTATGGCATGAGCCATAAACATTTGCCATACGCACATATTTGTCCACCCTCCTCCTCGTTCTAATTGTGTGTGCGGGCATTTCGTCTGCTGTTGTTGTCTTTTTTTTTTTTTATTTCTTCTCTTTTATGCGTACTGTGCAAATGCGCGGCGCTGCCAACAAGCTACCAATACATGCGCACACGCACTGACGCACACGCACACACTCAGCGAAACCACACGCACTTGCTCTTAACCTTGAAATTTAAACGCACGCAGCTTTTGGTTGGGTTTGCGTGTGTGCGTGTGCGTTTGTGTGTGTGTGTGTGTATTTGTATTTGTCGTTCAGCTTTTTTTTTTGGCTGCGCTGATAACATTTTGTTTTTGCTTTCTTTTCTTTCTTTTTTTTTGTGCGTTCGTTGCTCTGCACACACACACACGCACACACACACACTCACACGCAGACACACGCACAGCCCATTTTTGTTGTTTATTTGCGCACTTTGTTGAATTTTCAATAGTTTTATTATGCGAATATCTTGCAAATTGTCTTGCTAAAAATTAGTTTTTTATGGTTTCCAAAATTTCGTCCATGTATTCCTGCTTGGTTGTGAAATGACTTTTTATCCCCATCTGCGCACTTATGTATTTTATTATTATTTCGCCGTTTAATGAACTCTTATCAGGCAGCCAGGCACGGTAAGCGCACACGTAGCAGAGCCCTGAGTCAGAGCCGATTCTGTTATACCGAGGGGCACTTTCTTTGACCACAGTCTGTTCCGTAAATTGACACAAAGAGTTTTTGTGCAGATTGTGTCGGGGACCCTGAACTTAGCCCATATATTGGCTCGAAATTGAGGTCATGGACTTTGGACGATATTAAACTAGCGCTAGAAAGTGAAGTCAAAGTTCATTTTGATATAAACTACAGATAAACTGTGATATTTTCAGTAATATTTTGTTCTCATTTCTTAGCGTTTAGATTTTTAGCACAAGTCTAAATTTAATCATTTTTTGTGACCGCCAAAAAGTATGCTGCTATTTTTGACGGAAACGAAAACTTATTTTTGCATTATTATTTCAACCGGAAACCAAACCAAGATATTTTAAACTATTTGAAATAATATATTTTTATCCGCGCAGATCAAATTAGAATATGTAAACAAAGATTGGAGAAAAAAATTGAATATATGAAAAATTTTTAATTTTTTCAGCAAATAAAATATCTAAGAAAATGTGAAAATAAATTTAAAATTGTTTTTAAGCAATAAAATAAATATAAATTTGTAAAAAAATAAATGTAATAAAATAAATGTAAATATGATTAAAAATATGAATATGAAAATATTAGGCTAGGTTAAAAGCAAGGAAATAAGTATATACAATATATTGTATAGATATAGATAGTATTGTATAGATCATAGATAATATATAGTTCACACATAGAAAATATTTTATAGATCATAGATAATATATTGCATACACTATATTGTATAGATATAGAGAATGTTGTATCATCGATATTTTATAGATATAGATATAGATATATATAAAGATCACATAATATATATATTGTATACACTTTATTGTATAGATAGAGATAATATTGTATAGATCATAGATAATATGATTTCATAGTCTAACTTTATAGCTTTGCTTTTGTTGCTAGTTTGGCTTTTGTCAGGGCTTTGCGAGTGGCAGCAAAACACATTCACTTGACTCTCATTACATACAAACAGCAAACGCTTGAACTTTTTACATTATTTCCATTATTTTATTACCTTTGAAAGAGAAAGCCCAGACGAGAAATGGAGGAACCAATTGTATCCATATATGATATGTTGATGAAGCGCTATCGACAGCAGCGCAAAGAAGAATTCCAACAGCAAAGGGATCTCTTGCAGAACAAGCGCCCCACTCAGGATGTGCCGACGAAGCCGAGCATGGACTTCAGCATTGAGCCGAAGAAGCCCAGATCACGTATCAGTCGCACCAGGTTCTCGGTGGAGCAAATGCAGCCGGTTAGGGTGTCCACCAATGTGGTGACCTCAACGCACTTAACCAAGAAAAAATCGAACATTCTGCTGCCGCCGCACGCCAAAAAGGAGACGCTCAATCAGCTGGTGGAGAAGATGAGCGGCCTCAGCCGGAAGCGGTCCAAGAATGCTCCAGCGGAGCCGGTGCCGGTGCCGGAAAAGTCGGCCACGGAGCCGACAACTCGCAGTCGGGATGGCTCGGGCAAGAAGCGAACCGCCATGCGGATCAAGCCGAAGGTCAACAAGACACCGCCTGGCAGCGAGCCGATCAATCAGCGTCAGCGATTGGTCCTGTCGCCGCGCAACTCAAACAAGCCGGCCGTTAAGCGCGACAAGGCCAAAACCAATCCCAACGAGCCGAAGGTCCAGCGTCGCGCCAAGAATCCGGAGGCTGTGCGGCCCAAGGCGCGCCTAAAGGTGCACATGTCCAAGTTGTCCATCAAATCGGCCAGCAAGGCCAGCAAGACCCCGCTGCCAGCTGACAATGCAGTGCGTTATCGCCTCTGAACGGCGATAGTTATATCGGTTTTTATCGATTCCATTCTACAAATTGCAAGTGTTGCGCGCAAAACCGTTTACTCATGTTCTTTTTTGAAGCGCTTCCATTTTGCCAATCAATAGAATCCATTGCAGTTCCCCTCAAACTGCGGACCCTATTGGTTTACATCTGAGCAAGCGTTTCGAAAAGTTTTCATTTTGGCTTAAACTATAAAGAATAAAAATGTCAGTAACCACAGATGATAATTAAATTGATTTGAAAGTTGCCCGAGCTATGGACTTTATTTTCGTCAATTGAACGGATGTGGCTTCCACTGGCTTTCTAAATATGAGCAAAAGTTATCGATAACAATTAGTGAGGAGTCGACTGTGATCTTGCTTACCGTGGCATACTTTCTAGCACAGTTATCGATAACAATTAATGAATATCGATTAGAGAGGAGTTGACTGCGATATATCTAATTATATTAACATACGCTCTTGCACAGTTATCGATAACAATTGATAAGGAGTCGACTGTATTCTACCATATTATCATTGCATACTTTCTAGCACAGTTATCGATAACAATTAATGAGCATCAACTAGAGAGGAGTCGACTGTGATCTAGCTTATTGTAGCATACTTTCTAGCACAGTTACCGATTACAATTTATGAATTTCGACTATTTTCAGACCAAAACTAGAAAAGTATTTATTCTTAATTAACTGATGTGACTTGATATAAGAACGACAGTTTGACATTGATAGGCTAGCCAAAGTTATTTAAATGAATAATCGTAGCGAACTAAAACAGTTGTCGATAACAATTGGGTATCAATTAATGTCCACTGTGATCCACCCAATTATCATAGCATACTTTCCAGCACAGTTATCGATAATAATTGAGTATCGACTAGAGAGGAGTCGACTGCGATCTATCTAGTTATCGTAGCATACGTGCTAGCACAGTTTTCGATAACAATTGATAAGGAGTCGAATGTGATCTACCCAATTATCATAGCATATTTTCTAGCACAGTTATCGATAACAATTAATAAGTATCGACTAGAGAGGAGTTGACTGCGCTCTGTCTAGTTATCGTAGAATAATTTCTAGCACAGTTATCGATTGCCGCAGCATTCATTTTTCCTTCATACCAAAACTAGGTAATTGTATTATTTTAATAACTTTAAGTCTCTTAAATTTGGCTGCTTTGAAATTTGCAGGGATTTGAATAAGTATTAAAAATTGTGCATATAGCAAAAATCAAGGCTCTACTTTAAATTAATTTAAATGAATACTCCAAATTAACTATGCAACATATTTGTATCTTAGATAAATAAGTCAATACTTTTTAAATAATCATTGTAGTTTATTTATTTTTCATTTTATAATAAATTAAAATTTCTTTAAGACAGCAGCTTAACATTATGTTTTCTTTTAACCAATTCGCAACGGCCTAAATTTAACGCCTAGTTTTTTTTTTTTTTTTTTTTTGTTAATTTTTCTTTTATGTGTAGAGTTCGGCCAACATTTGATGTATTAGCACTTCATATTTTTCTTTTCTTTACATTTCTTTTAATTTTCACATAGAATTCGCACAAAGTGACGGCGACAAGTTTTGACATTAAAATGCAACAGCTACAAACTAAGAATACTTGGATCTATAAGTAGTACTCGTATATATAGTGTATATATAATAAGCCATTGGGTTTTACACGATATCAATTATGCTTCGCATTTATTCAAGTTTTTTTTTTTTAATTATTTCTATTTCGACTGTAAGACGGGGCGCCAAAATCGAGTTAAAGAGTTGTTACAAAAGAAAAAACGGAATAATCGCAGAAAAATTTAGAAAAAGATTTCCATAGATTGGTTTTTTACAAAAATATTGTACACAAATATTTTCGCAATGTTTTTAGTTTCGTTTTCTTAACGGGGTATAATTTATATCAAAAAATTACAAAAAATTTTGTTTAATTTTTGCTTTTCGGTTTTTTTTTGCAAAATTGTTGTTTCACATTGAATTGTTGTTGAAATGAATTTTTTAAAACAAAAATTCAAGGCGCTTCCCTATAAATTTTCTTCTTTGTTGCTGGCATGTATGTGAGTGTGTGTGTGTGAGTGAAGTGTGTTTGAAATACTTTGAGAAATTGTTCAAAAGCTTTAAAGCCCAAAACAACGACATAAACATAAATGCAGCTCGTAAAACAATTAATGAATTAAGACTAAAATTAGAATATAAAATGTAAATTCATATATAAATACATAGATTAACTGAAAGGCGCAACTAAAAGCTTTACTACTTATAGCCAAAATGAAAAGACTTACCAATATAACACAAAGTTTTCTCGCTAGTTTTGTGACTACATTTTGAAATTAAATTTCAATTATTTGTTGGCTGTGCTCGGAATAAACAAAAGGAACTAACTATTGTTGTGTTTACATTTGTTGTTGTTGTTGTTGTTGGAGGGGGGGTTTGTGTTGCGGGGTTTTTGGCTTGTGAGTTGTGGGTTCTTGTGCTGAAAGGGCTGCCTAGGGTATCATGACTTCAGCCAAAGTCTTTTCAGTCTGAAATAAAAACAAAACAAAATCAATTTGTTAGATAAATAATAAAGAAAATTAAAATTATAATAATTATTGTTGGCATTTAAAGCGCAGAGTAAATTAAAAAACTAGTTTCTTTTTAAATAAAGCATAAAAAATAAGAAATAACTGATCACAGTGTTAGTTTAATTAATTTAAGCTAAATTAAATTATATGTACGATTTTTAACAATAAATAATTGTAAATCATAAGAGTAAAAAGCATACAAACAATTTAAGTATATGTTTGAGATTGAGATTGATTGAGAATAAAATAAACTATTATAAATATTAATATAATTAATCAATACAAAAGAAATACGTAATAATCGAAATGATAAATATTAATAAATAATCAACCAATAAATACAAGCTACTTTTAAATATATTACACATTTATAAATGTTTCAATAATGTTTGAAGAACTAAACTAAAAACCTTTTGAAATATTTTAAAAGACATTCTTCACTTTATGCAATAAATAAATAATAAATAACTAAATAAATAAATAATAAATAAGTGAATAAATAAAAAAAATTCTGTCAGTTTGTAAAAATATTTTTGAAACAATTCAAATAAACCAGAATGTTTTCTAAATATGTGTTTTACAATAGCGTTTCGAGTATTTAGTGTTAGCTTTAAATAAATATTGACTAGTCTTAATGTCTTAAACTACTTAGCGGAACATATGACTAGAAAGCCTAAAGGGAGGCGGGGGAGGCTTTGCTGGCTCGTACTACAATATAAAACCTTAAACTAAGGAACATGCAACAATTTCTTTGGTTTGCTTTTGTTTTTGCTAAGCTGCGTTTGCTTGTTAACCGCGAGAGATCATATAATGAATATGAATTACATTTAAATTTGCATTTCGCTTGGCTTCGGCCGATTTGTTGTTTTGCTGCTTAAAATTCCGTATGCATAGACTCAATGCTCTGACGCAATTCTGCATCGTTGTAGAACTTTTCGCAAACGATGCTCACCTTTTTCAGCAGCTCAATGGCCGTTTGGAGCACCTGATGCCATTTGCGTAGCTCAGATTCATGCGACAGCTCCTGCTGGCGCATCAATTCCAGCCAATCTTGATTCGTACTGGGTAGTTCTCTGCAAACAAATATATATAAATTATACGATTTTTAATTTGGTTTTTATATTGGTTCTCACTCACTTGAGGGCTGCCAAACTGGGCATGCGGGCGCGCCGGCTGAGATCGACGTCAATGTGTTCCTCCAGCTTCCAGAGCTTAAGTAATAATATCACATTTAATGCCAGCAGCAAGCACATTAACAATATAACGAACAGCGACAGGCCCCTGTGTCTGAATCTATCCTGGCCCTGGCCCAGCTGATGGCCGCCCGCAAGCAACTGTTGCTGCTGCTGCTGTGCGGCCAGCAACAGCTGCTGCTGTCGACTGCCGGCGCCGCCGCCGCCACCAGCAGCGCCATGTGCCAGGAGGCCAGCGGCAGTGCCAGCGCCAACGCCGCCAGCGGACAACATTTTTGTTTCCCAATTTTCTAGTGATTCGGACAGTCCACTCTGTCCTCCGCCGCCGGCTGCTTCCTCTAAGGGGCGCGCTTGGCTGGAGGTACCTGCAAATTGCACCAGTCCAGCAAATGGCAAAAAATTAACAATTATTAAAAACAATTAAATAACAAAAATTGGGTTATATCTGCGGCTACAGCAACAAAAACACAACATTCGAATGCAACAAATAAATTGGACACAAGTGTTTACATGCAAATGGACTAAGGATTAAAAATATAAAAATAAAAATCAATTGCAGCATTTCAAGCAAAACGCTGCACAAAGCGATTGCCACAGCCAAGTTTTGCGAGCCAAATTTCAGTAGCAGAAATATTGAAAACAAATGGAGCATTGGATATGCCAAGCTAAGAAGAACTCTTTATATAAAACTATTTCTTCTGGCTGACGGACTCGATTGTGGATTAGGAAAATTGGAAATTGAACTCCTCTTTTTGAGAAAAAACAGAGGGGGATTGCGAAGCCCAAAGATTCATTAATTAAACCTCTAGCTTAACTCAATTATTTAAATATCTCAATCAAAACTTTTATCTTTATCACTTCTATAAAATCGAACTTTAAAAAATCTTTAGCTATTAATCAAAAGATTGTGTCCCAAAGGTAAAAAAATCTCTGGCTTCTGTTACATGGTTCACAGCGTAATTAGCTGATGACAATCGCTTTTGCTTTTAGGGGTTGCTTAGCGCCATAGATACGCTATATACCTTGACATGTGTGCAATTTGGCCTTACGATGTTGGCAAATTTGTTGCTGCGGATGAGTTTGCAAATGTTGCTGATGCGGCGGCGGCAACTGTTGGCGTTGATGTTGGTGATGAGCATGATGAAGCTGTGAATAATGACGAGGAGGATGTTGATGATGCTGAAGATTATGAGGATGTTGATGATGATGAAGATGATGATGAAGATGATGAGGATGTGAATTTTGTTGACAAGTCGCTTGTTTGCTGTCATTGTCCGTGCTGCTTGCTGTTGTCGTTGTTGTTGTTGGTGTTGCTGCCGCAATCAATTGTTGTTGTGGTTCTTGTAGCTAGTTTGCAGCTTGGCATGACAATCGTTTTAGTTGCTGTTGTTCTTGTGGTTTGTGCGTGCATTTTGTGTGGTTAGAAGAAGCAATTGCAATTGCATTTTGGC